ACCTGGTCCTCCGGTGCAATGGGGATCTGGAAATACCCGGACATCCCATCTAGGAAATAGTAGAACTCGTGCCCCACAAGTCTCTCCAGCATCTGATCAATGAATGGCAGTCGGAAATGATCCTTCCGGGTGGCGTCGTTGAGGCGACGGTGGTCGATGCAGACGCGGTACCCGGTCAATGCGCATAGGTATGAGCTTATTCTTCTCATTGGGTACCACGGTCATCCCGCCCTTCTTAGGCACCACCTGGGTTGGACTAACCCACTCACTGTCGGAGATGGCAAAGATGATCCCCATGTCCATCAACTTCACGATCTCCGCCCGAACAACAGCCTCCAGGTTCAGGGTCAATCTCCGGTGGGGCTGTCTTACCGGCCGCATCTCATCCTCTAGCAGTATCCGGTGGGAGTAGAAGGAGGGGCTGATCCCCCGGATATCAGTGATCTTTCACACAAGAGCTCTCTTGTACTGCTTCAGCAAGGCCACCAGTCTGACCTTTTGCTCGGGTGTGAGGGTCGAGCTAATGATGACTGGGATCTTGTTCCCCTCCCGGAGAAATGCATACTCCAAGTGAGGAGGGAGGGTCTTTAGATCCAGCTCTGGTGCTTCTCCAAGGAGGTAGTGATGCGAGGTGAGGATGAGATCGGTTTGAATAGCCTATCGCCCTCCAGGAATGCGCCACTCTCCAGCGCGGCCAACTGCTCCTCCAGTTGTGGCTCCTGCGATGCCTGCTCACCTAGCAAAATAAAACACTCAAGAGCATCATCAGTACCCGCACTCGTTATGGCGAGTGCGGTCTCAAAATCAGCAAGCATATGACAGTAATCTAAGTCATCATGCAAATGGGAGTGTTTCCCATTCTCAGACACAGAAAAAGTAGCCTTTTCATCCCCAGCACGCAAGATCAGTTTACCACTATGCACATCAATAAGCGCCTTGGCGGTGGCAAGAAATGGTCTCACCAAAATCAAAGGCACATCCACATCCTCATTTATATCTAGAATAACAAAATCAACAAGATAGGTGAATGCGCCTACATTAACAAGCATACCCTCTATGATACCCCTAGGATGCACAATAGAGCGATCAGCTAACTGAATGCTCATCCTAGTAGTTCTAGGTTCACCTAGGCCTAGCTTCTTAAACAATTTATAAGGCATGACATTTATGCTGGCGCCTAAATCCGACAAGGACTTCCCTACATGCATGCTACCAATAACAAGAGGGATAGTAAAACTCCCTGGGTCTTTGCGCTTCTTGGGCAACTTGTTCTGCAAAATGGCAGAGCACTCCTCTCTCAGCATCACTGTTGAGAGATCCCCAAGTTTCTTCTTGTTGGTGAGGAGATCCTTCATGAATTTGGCGTAGTTGTGCATCTTTGACAGTGCCTCCACGAACGGCATGCTGATGTTGACCTGCTTCAACATTGCCATAAACTTGGCAAACTCAGTCTCCAGCTTGTCTTTGTGTAGGCTAGTGGGGAAGGGAAGCTTGGGTACATGCTCCTTAACCACTGGCTGTGGCATGGGAGCGGGTGCTTCTTTCTCCACCCCCACTTATGCATCGTCAGCTGGAAGTGTTGAAGCATGTAGTGGCTCTTCTTGCTTAGCTGGGGCAGGGGCAGCAGATGTGGTCTTGCCACTCCTGATAGTGATTGCATCCAGCTGCTGGTGAGGCTCGCGAGGATTTGGAATGGTGGTGGCAGGCAAAGTCCCCAGTGCTTTGGTGTTATTCTGGCGAGCAATGCCACCAATCTGATTTTGGAGATACTGCAGTATAGCGCCCTGGTTCCTTTGGACTGCCTCCAAAGAAATTATGTTATGGTCCATCCTGGCGAAATTCGCTGACTGGTAGTCATGAATGCCTGCAAAATATTTTGCAGCTCCGTCATCTGGGTATCTGGAGCTGGAGCTGCTGGCAGCTAAGCAAACTGGCGCTACGGCTGCTGGAATGGTTGTTCCGGTCTGGGCTGGTAAGGCTGCTGCTGTAGAACAGGACCCTGCCTGGCCTGGAAAGGTTGCCTCTGATGAAAACCACCTGTTGGTGCTGGAAAACCAGGTGGTTTAGTGGTGTTGCTATTATTCCAGGAGAAGTTGGGATGTTGGCACCACCCTTCATTATATGTACAAATGTAAGGATCAAGGCGCCGAGCATTGGCGATGAAGTCCAACTGCTCCTGGGGTGTATAAGACTCTCGCATGGCCTGGCAGTCTTCCACAAGATGGTTCGAACTCTCACACCACTAACATTGAGCAACTGGAGGCCCGGCCAGTCCTCTGCCCGGAATAAGACTGTTTGGCTGCTTCAATGTCTGGACCAACTCGGCCACCTCCCGGTCTAGCCCGGACCTAGACTCCATGGCACGGGAACTCCTGCATCTGGTGCTCTGCCCCCAAGAGTGATCCCTGGCAGCCAGAGTACTGATCATCTGATTCAGGTCGGGTGGAGTCTTGGTGAGAATATCCCCTCCTGGGCATAGAGACTCGATCACCCTCTGGCTTTCTGGGGTTAGAGCGTTGTAGAAATTCCCCACTGTGAATGCATCACTGAAGCCATGATGGGGACACTGCCAGAAGAATCCCCAGTACCGCTCCCAGGCATCACATAGTGACTCATATGGGTCCTGGCGGAAATGAGTGATCTCCCGCTGAATCTCCGTGGTCTTCGAGGCCAGATAATACATGTGCATAAATTTGTCGGCCAATTCGTCCCACGATGTGATGGATAGTGGGGGATGGGTCTCTAACCATCTCTTCGCATGCCCCGCCAGAGAATGGGGGAAAAGGTGGAGACGGATTGCATCATCGGGTACACCATTCATCTTGAATCTATTTGTCAGCTGCAAGAACCGGGAAAGGTGCACCCTCGCCTCCTCATCCTTCAAGCCATGGAACTGGATAGAGGATGTAATCGGAATAATTCCCAGAATACAGCATAAATTAAACATAATTCACATAATACATAGGATTTATAAAATTTTCCCAAAATACCCAAGTTTCAAAGGGTTCGAGTTCCAAAAACTCGAACTACTAAGTAGTTCGATGAATAAGCACTCGATCTACCATCACATCGAGTTACTCAAACTCGATCATTTGTACATCAATTTTTGAACCATCGATTAAGGCATATCGACGACAAGTGACTCGATGCATATATTGATCGAGTTTAAACAACTCGAACTAGTAGATCGATGCCCAAAAACTCGATCCTATACATCGTCTTTAAAAGCATCGATCCATTTCTGCCCAAGATCGATGAGTTAAAACTCGAACTACCTAAATCGATTCCGCCGGCCTCGAACCAATACTCAATTATTCCCCGACATGCTTCAGGATAGGGTTACAGGGATATGATTTTTTTGTTGTAGTAGATCGAGTTTTAAGGACTCGAACTAGGGTAGATCGAGTTCTATGGACTCGAACCACTTCTCAATCCTTTTGTCCCGTCACTTTCGGCCCGACATGCTCCAGAATAGGGTGCAGGAGGAAAATTATTGTTTGCACTGGATCGAGTTTTTAGGACTCGAACGACCCTAGTTCAAGTTTTTTGGGCTCGAACCACTGCACAATGAATCGAGTTTTTAGAACTCGATCTACCCTAGTTCGAGTTCTTTGGGCTCGAACCAGTGCACCAATTTACGAAGATAAAAAGCAAGCACTTAACACATTATGGCAGCTCTTATACTTTCTTCTATCTTCTTTCTTCCAAACACAAACTACAGCAGCTGGAGCACCATAGCTGAGCAAAGAAGAAAATTTTTGGAGGTAAGTTAGTTCTGCTTACGTTGTTTGAATGAGCATATTAGAATTTTGGATTAAGTTAGTATTGGTTGTACTGTATGTAATGAGCTGTTTCTATAAACTGCAGAAATGGGTAGAAAATTTCGAAAATTCGACTTATTGATTCGGTGGAATGGTCGAATTACACATTTTCATGATAGTATTGACTACGAAGATGGTGAATCAAGTACTTTCCGGATTGAGAGAATATTTACTTGGCAAGAACTCAGCCATATTTTTGCGGAACGATGTTGCATGGGAGGGCGAAGAGTATGCAAGATGACTTACCGTATGCCGGTTTACAAGGATTATGCACTTGTATATGAAGGATCAGTTTTGTCTGACGATGATGACATTAATATGATGGTGAGATTTATTGCAGAGAACAGATTTCCAACTGCTGAGGTGTATGTCGAGACAGAAGTTGTTGGCCAATATGGTGGCCGCGGTTATACCGAACAAGGTGAAGGATCGAGAGGGTTTTCCGGTTCCGGAGATTTTAGAGTTCTGCATGATGCACCATGGCCAACATACGAGGATCAAACTGCAACTGGTCCATTGGTGGAACATGACGGACAGGAGTGACCAGTATGGGGTGAAGAATGGGATTACATAAGGGCGCCCAGACAGTCACCCAGACAAGCATCTACACCAGCATCTGGCATCAACAATGATCCTTATGTGGATAAACCAAGTCCTCCATACACTAGCGAGGCAAGCGACGTGGAAGATGAAGAGTTAGAATCAATGAGAAGTTCAGATGGTGAAGATCTGGAAGTTGATGAGGGGTAATTTGAGCCCCCCACACCTCACTACACGATGGTGCCACAACATCCTCTCTATGCTCACAACGACGATCCTGACCTCCCTCCTATACCTATCTGGACTCCTGATTATGGATTCGTGGTTGGCCAAACATTTGGAGGAAAGCCTTAGGTGGTCGATGCATTGAAAGAAACTGATATGCGAAGAAGCTTTCAATATCGTGTCATCACTTCTGACACTAAACAAATTCATGTTCGTTGCGAGAACCATGGCGATGGATGCATGTGGCATGTTCGGGTAGCATATGTTAAAAGAAATGGGGCTTGGCTCATTCGTAAGACAGACAACAACCACACTTGTAGGTCGTCACTGATTTCTCTAGATCACCGACAATTGAGTGCAAGGAAGGTTGCACAAACAATCTTGTGCTTCCTCGGGGATGTTGATACCTAAACGCTAGCTTATAAATTGGCCCCAACCATTCAATGGCTTCTGTGAACTTTCTATTATTGCATCACCATCGATTGGAAGCTTAGTCAGCATGGCTACGTCCTTCAACGTAATCGTCATCTCTCCCTCTAGAAGGTGGAATGTGTGCGTTTCTTTTCTCCATCTTTCCACCATTGCCGTAAGAAGTTTGTTGTCCATCTCCATCCCCACAAACTTTCGCACCCTCAGCAATCGCGCTCTTTCAATGAAGGGCTCGATACGATCATCCCATTTAGGCAAGCGAGATAGCGATCGATGGGTGATTACGTCAAGTTGTTCCTGTAGCAAAAAAAACATTAATTATTATACAAAAAAAAATTCGAAGAATACTACCACATTTAAAAAAAGAAAAGTACATGAGGAAGTGCTTACCGGATCTGCCGCCCAAACACTTTGAGACCGATGGTAAGGTTGCTCATTCAACAAATCGTTTACTCGCGGTCCGCCTTGAATGTATAATCTAGGATCGTAAATACTCGGATCCATCTCGACAATTTTGAGTGATAGAAGTACCAAACTAAAGAAAAAAAATCTGATGCGGAAGATCGGGCTTAGCCGCAACCACAGAGCATATTTTTTTCTTCAAGAGTGGTGGGAGGAAGAGAGGAAGAAGAATGGAGTGGTGTGAGATTTGGTGGAATGGAAGGGGGTATTTATAGGTGCAGTGGGAGAGTGGATCGAGTTTACAAAACTCGAACCAGTGCATCAATTTCGGGGCACTCGATCCGCGTCAAAAGTAGATCGGGGTTAGGCGCATCGAACAACCCAGATCGAGTTTAGGGTCCTCGATCAACGGTTGTTCGCCTTTGACGTCATCGATCCGCGTCAACTTGATCGACCACAACCGACTCGATCCACTGCATCGAGTTTCGCCCACTCGATCTGCGTCATCCCTGCTTCGCGTGTTTTGCAATCGAACGGGGTGGATCGAGTTTAGAGTACTCGATCGACGGTAGTGCGCACCTGACGTCATCGATCCGCGTCAATCAGATCGATTTCCATAAACTCGATCTACCTACATCGACTTTCCCACTCTCGATCCGCGTCTTCACTACTTCGCGGGTTGAGCAATCGAACGGCGTAGATCGCTTCTCGGTACATCCATCTATGGTGGAGCGCTGCCCATCTCATCAATCCAGTTCTTGCTGTTCGAGTGCTTTATCCTTGATGCACGTGGATCGTTTTATTGTCAGTCGAACAGCTACTAGTTCGAGTTTGTTAAACTCGATCCATGTCAAACTTTGGTAGTTTGGGAATTTTTTATAAAAGTTATGTATTGTGGGAATTAGTTTTAATTGTTACTGTATTTAGGGAATTAATCCGATGTAATCACTTGAATCCAACACGACTTAATCTCAAAGTTGTTCGCTGGAATAGGCGGATAGAGGATGACGAGGTGGATGTCGGCGACCCGTGGAGTGTAGTAGTACTCCATAGTAGGACCCGGCGGCGGTGGTGGATGTTGAGCCCCATCTCCCTGGGGGACTGGGTTGTTCCCCAAGATCTGATTCACTGGGGGAACCTGCATGGGCATCCCGAGGGGTTGGTTATGCCCCAGGTTGAGGTTCCCCCTGTTGTGCTCGTCGCCCATCTCGTATTCCTCTTTGGATTCGTTGCTCAGATGGCCGTCAACGTGCAATTCCTCCGTAGCCAGTCTCGCTCTCTGTTTTCTCCTTAGTTGGCGACAGGTGCGTTCTAGCTCCGGATCTAACGGTAGTAAACCTCCCTACTGGCTACGGGTCATGCACTACCTGCACACAGCCAAGCAAGCAAACCTGTGAAGGCACAAGCGGGAAAAAGCAAACACTCAATGCGGAAATGGAAATGCTAAAGTAACTTAAATCATGTTTCTTCAACAAACTAGTCGTCCCCGGCAACAACCTAGTCGTCCCCGGCAACGGCGCCAAAAACTTGACATGCCTCTACCGTCACACTAGAAAGTGGCCAAGTGCAACCACCTACTAATGCATAGTATAACGGGTTCTAAATGTCAACCCGGGTCCTAGGTGTGATGACTACTCCGTGAAAATCTTATTATTTAGCGGTTCTAGTGTAGTTAACGTTTAGTTAAACTAGCAAGCAAAGTAGTGAAAGTCAAGTTGAGAGAGGTCACCCAGATATGGTTCCCCCTAGACTGCAGTTAAGCCAGGTTGTAATTCACCAAGTTCAAGTTCAATGATAGTTATACTGCGGGAGGTTCTTAAACAGTCTGCAGTCTCGACTAAAGGTCTCCAGACCCTCTCAATCTGAGTCCCCAGCGGGCGACTAACATCCACCGGAGTAGACAGATTGAGGCCCTAACGAACCAAACCTCCTCGACCGAAGTAAATCCGGTACAAAATAGTGAATTGAATCCTCGACTAAAGTCGTCAATTCACTACCTTCAATCAAGGGTGCTCTATCAACCTAGGCAGATACTATCTTTCTATGTCAAAGCAGAAATAACAGGAATTTGATCAGGGTTCATGCCATTCAATAAATCAAACCTCAATTGAATATAATCATATCACTGAATTCGTACTTGGGTTCATACAATCAGACCTAACATACAAATCTAGGGTTCTTCATACCCAGGTGAATGAGAAAGTCTACTCCATAGAGAGAGAAGGGAAATCTAGCTCAGATGCGGAAACCATGCTATGAATGATGGATTCTGCTTCTGGCAATCAATCGGCACTTCTCCTAGCTCAAGCTGAACTCCAATGGTGATGAAGATCGATCTAGGGCACTTGGAGAATCAGGTTAGTCACTCTCTCTAGATATCAGCTTTTTCTCTCTAAAACTCGGAACCCTTCAAAAGTTGGCCTTCTTTTCCTTAAGAGCCAGCAGATCGCGATACCCGGCCATAATACCCAGTCGGGTATTTTAGGTGTCCGGCCGGGGATTTCAAAATACACAGTTTCGCACAGGGGATTAATACCCGTTCGTGGCCCAGAATACCCGATCGGGTATTTTCGCTCTCTGGCCGGGACCCCTCCTGCTTCTTGACGTCCAAAAAACGTGAATCCCCGGACTCCCTCCGCAATTTACCCGGGCGGGTAGTTTTAACTACTGGCCGAGTATTTCCTCTTCCAGCGCCCTTCACTCCAATGTCCTCCTTTTTTACCCAAACTCGTTTCCTCGCCTTCACGTCAACGCCAAGTCCTGAAATATGACATAAACACATAACCTAACGTGAAATCGGCTAAAAACATGAGAATCGACTCTCAAACGGCTCAAGAATAGAGGTATAAACATGTGTAATTATTGATCTATCATTAACCACAAGTTACCACCCACATACCATAGTGGTAAAGTATGGTAATATTTGGTCCTGTATTTTTTTCACCCAAAAATTTGTAGATCCAATAGATCATGGTGAACTCGTTCCTTCTGAGCAAACGTTTTCAAAAACGACTTAAAAACGAAGAAGTTACCATATGGTATGTAGTTGGTAACGGGAGGTATGAAAAAAAGTTTCTCGAAATATATTAAAAATTTGTCTCATTTTGGAGAGCACAACGAACTCGTTCCATCTGTGCAAAAAAAATTTGAAATCCGAGTTAGAACGAAGAAGATAAGAGCCGATTAAGAAAACTAGGGAAAATAAAATGTCTTTAATCCACAACCCTTAGATCTGAATTTTCTGGGCCACTTAGATGTAAAGGTCCAGATTTAGTTACTCATAGGTCAGTAACCAATGGTTATGGACCGTATCCCATGTCGGAGTTGAGATGCGTAAGGTTGATCTTCTTGCATAGAGGATGATAAAGAATCTTTCTAGAAGCAGCTGCTATATTAAGTAAACCAGTGATGCCTTCCATTGCAATAGAGAATATGTATGGGAATAAGGGATCTCCCTGCCTAATGCCCTAATCCCCTTCTTTGCAGCAAAAAACCACATAAACCCCCATTGATGCTGATACTAACACATATCTTAATCCATTTGATAAACACATAAGAAATGTCATTATATCCATCACCATGAATAGATACTTCCAACTTAATGAGTTGAATGCCTTCATTAAATCCACCTTAATAGTACATGGAGAAGAGAGCATTTTCCTGTTGTAACTTGTAACCATTCACAACTCTCTGTGGCATCATCATATTATATATCCATGATTCTTCTGCCCTTTACAAAAGCTGACTTGAGGGAGAGCCATACTAAGTCTATTGGATAAAATTTGGCCGCAATCTTGTGCAAGAGATTGATACATGATATTGGCATGAAGTTCTTGAGATGAATTGCACTAGGAATCCTAGGTATAAGTGTACCATTTGTAGCTGATAGACCGTTAGTTACAAATGTTTTTACCCCTGCTCTTACTCCGTTTGAGGTATTGATTCTCGTGTTTTAGGCCGATTTCACGCTAGGTTGTGCTTGTTTATGATATTTCAGGTCCTAGTACGTGAATGGAGGCTTGGGAGCGAGTTTGAGGTCGATTGGACGAGGATCGGACGCATGGCGAGGTTCTGAGGAAGTCGCACGGGCACACCCACAACCCGCACGGCCGTGCAAGTGACCAGTTTGGCCGTGCGGGATTGTGCGAGAGCACGCACAGGCACAAGTGAAATCCGCACGGCCGTGCAAAGTGCAATCCTGGCCGTGCGAGATGGCTGAAGTTCGACTTAATGGTACGCCGCGTTTTGAGCCGCACGGCCAGAATGGTGATATGCACGGCCGTGCACCCTGGCCGTGCGAGTCGGGAAATTCTGGTTTTTAAGCGGATTCCGAGCCAAACAGAGGGGGATTCGAGTTTTTGAGAGACAGAGCGGTTCCTAGAGAGAGAAAGCGACGAACAAGAGTCTCCAAGTGCCCTAGCTTGATCTTCAACACCATTGGAGCTTGGCTTGAGCTTTGAGAAGTGCCGATTCAACGTCCAGGAGCAGAAATCCATCTTCACAGTATGATTTCCGCGTCTGATTCTGCTTTTGCTTCTTTCTCCATGGAGTAGTTCTCTCATTCATCTGGGTGTGGGAAACCCTAGTTCTGTATGTTAGGTTTGATTGTATGAACCCAAGTACTGTTTCTATGAATTGATTATATTCGATTGAGGTTTGAATGATTGAATGGCATGAATCCTGATCAAATTCCTGTTGTTTCTGCTTTAACCTAGAATGATAATATCTGCCTAGGTTGATAGAGTATCCTTAATCGAAGGTAGTGAATTGGTGACTTTAGTCGAGGAGCCAATTCACTATTCTGTACCGAATTCAATTCGGTAGTGGAGGTTTTGTTCATAGGGCCTCAATCTGTTTACTCCGGTGGAGGTTAGTCGCCCGCTAGAGACTCAGATTGAGAGGGTCTGAAGACCTTTAGTCGAGACTTCAGGCTGTTTGAGAACCTTCCGCAGTATAACTATCATAGAAACTGAACTTGGTAATTACAATCCGGCTTAACTGCAGACTAGGGGGAACCATATCCGGGTGACCTCTCTTAATCTGAATACAAACGCTTAGTTACTTTGCTTGCTTGTTAGTTTAGAACTTCACTAAAGTTTCATTGCTAGTTAATACGAATTCACTGAGTAGTCATCACATCTAGGACCCAGGTTGATAATAAAACCCAAACCCGCTATACTACGCTTTAGGAAGTGGTTACACTTGGCCATTTTCTAGAGTGACAGTAGGAGTGAGTCAGTAGCATTAACTCTACTCGCCATATGTTGTATTGAAATAATTCTAAGACTCCAACTATTGCATTAGGACCAACGATGTGCCAGGATTTCTTAAAAAAATTGGATGTAAATCGATAAGGACTTGGAGCCTTCAAAGAATCCATGCCAAAAACAATTATTCTAATATCTTCAGCACTCACAGTAGCATTAGGTTAGCTTGTTGTTCCTATCGTAGCCACAAATTGATAATTCTCTCCATTTTCTTTTTATTTGGATGTACTTCGTGATCTGCAACACCAAAAAAAGCTTATTGTAGGCTGTGTGGCTGGGTCTCCCCCGGCCCGCAGCCATGCAGACACCCAAAAAAAAAAGCTTATTGTATAAACTAACCACTTCAACCACAATATCATCAATTTCAACTAACTCTTGGCCATTATCAATAACCAGCTTTCTGATTGCTTTATGTGATGTCTTAACTTTAGTAGTTTGAAGAAAGAATCTTGTACTCTTATCCCCCCAAATTTAACCAAGAGATTATTGACTTTTAACGCTAATTATCTGCTCAAGTTTATGGAGTTCATTAGCCTTCTCTTGGATTTCATTCACTTTCCCACAACTGTTCACATAAGGTCATTCTAGTGTCTCCCTCATGGACATTGTGAGTTCATCTTCTTCTTCCTAAACTTTGTCACTTAGTCCAACATAGACAGTCTTGTTAAGTTGTTTCAAGCATTTATTCACTTTTCTAAGTTTAATTACTCTACACAATCGTACAGGGAGATCCTACTACCTCAGTTGACCAGGCCTTCAAGACTATCTCCATAAACTCAGGATGATCCAACTAGAAATATATAAAAAAAAAATAAAGAGTTTGGGCAGGGTCTTGATAAGAGGCTTGGTCATCACAAGTCTTCCACGTTTATTTGAAAAACCTACAGGGATCGTATCCATTATGCATCAAGAAAATAGTAAACCAGTCCATATTGATGAGTGATCTATCCAGTAGGGGTGGGCATTGGGTGGGTCGGGTGGATTTTGACCATAAAATGCACCCACCCGCGCTTAAACGGATTGCTAATTTTTAACCCACCACCCACCCACATTTAGTCTCGGGTTGGGTCGGGCGGATGGTGGATGATGCGGGTGGGTTTGTGGGTTTACCCACATCACAATGTATACAATATAAAGGAGTCAACTTGACATGATAATAGGTGAAGAGAGTTCTCGGAGGAAACAAGAAGATGAAATAGGGCGGCAAAAAATGTCGAATTAGTTCTTAAATTGGATAGAAATTCTATTATGAAAGAGTTTTCTACATATTAAGATGATTACCGGGTGCAAGAAACTAAGGAAAATAATTCCACAAAGGAAAGAGCAGTGATCTAGGCACAAGAATTAGAGGAAAAAATAAAGGGAAGAAGAAGGGATCGCTATTTGGAAGGTTGGCTTTGAGGTTCAAACTCCACGAGCAGTCCTAATTTATGTCTAACGTCTCCACTCTCCCCTCTCTAGAGCCAACGACTTTGATCTTTTTGTTGTTGGGTTGAGCGGGTCACCCGCGCACCCACCCACCACCCGGCGGATGGCTCCCAGAGCAACCCGTCACCCACCCACAGACCCACCCACTTAACAAAATTCGGGTCAAATGCGGGTGGGTCGGCCCAAACCCGCGGATGATCCGCCCGCATCCCCAGCCCTACTATCCAGGGCAATTGAATTTGCTCTCTATTTGTTTGTCCAAGTGAATAAGGGTCTTCTTGTTCTATATATATCCTACTCCATTCTCCAAACTCTTTCATACTAGTAATAATGATGCTTTAATTGGAAGCTTCCTCTAGAAAAAATAATATGTTAAAATTTCATCCTACAATCTAGGCATGTCCTGCCACCTTTAGTCTAGACATTGCAACATAAGTATCCATCCTTTCAACCTCATCATTGGAGGCATAGACATAATTCTTTCTTGGTTTCAGCACCCTTAAATTGACATGAGGTGCCCAAAACATTCATACTCTCCCTAAATCTAACTCCACATAATTCATATGACACTCCCAGTCATCCAAAAAATCATCCACCACCTCCAATGAATTAACCTTCATGCACTCTTGTTTCTAGCAGAACCACTATATCAACTTTGTTCTTATTAAGAATCTTATGAAGATAATTTTTCTTAGAGGGTTTATTAAATCCTCTTATATTCAAAAAAAAAAATGTATCATCATTGGGAAGAGAGGGACCATATGATCTGACTTCTTACCATTCCCCCTACCTTTAACAATCACCTTCATAATCTCCAAATGCTCACTAAGGTTTTGTAGCATCGACTCCCTATACCAATGTGTTTTGTGTCTGCCATACTTGTGGTTTAGCTCCATTTGATAACCTTCTGAAATTCAACATCAGATGCAAAACTAACATGCCCTGCAATTTCACATAAAGATTTCTTCATATTAACATTAGTTACAGCACTAGAGCTCGCCTATTGTCTCACACTTTGTACTCTAGTTGGAGCCTCACAACCTGGAGAGTTAAGTATACTGCCCACCATGGCCTCCTGTTGTGGATCTTCCACACTTACCATAAACTCTTTACCTTTGTCCACGACAGGAGTCACCCTTATACATTCACTCTCCTCTACCTGTATAGCCATAATCTGTCCACCAATCTGACCCTCCTTCTGAAGGATACAACCATATCCATTACCAAATAAAGCATAATGAGGGCACACTGGAGAAGATTATAGTATTCAATGTCAATTCTCATAGGAAGATCCTCATCCGGCTAGAGCATAACATGATCCGAAAAGTCCCCATCAACTCATAGTTCAATTAACACATTAACATAGCCCAATCGACCCCCATATCCTGGTTGTATGATCAACTCTCTAAGAAACCACTACCCATCTAGCAATTCGACTATGACCTTGAAAATTGATATACTCAAGAGGGACATATGCCAAATGAATCCAAACCGGGAGAGTTTTCCTACAAAAATTAGTTGCACTCATTCTTGGTGCCCACGGCCTCAAGTAAAAGATTACCTTGATAGAACCAGAGTCCATTCTCCAAGATCAAGTCACAAGTAGACTGAGATGGGGGCTGAATTAGGAGGAGACAATCACAAATCAAGAAAACCCAAACTTGACCATCTCTTCCCCAGAGCTTATTCGCCCAACGTCTTAGAACCATCAACGATGGTGCTTATTGTAGAAACTGTCACACAAGGCAATTATTCCAACGAGCTGCGCCCTATTCCCAAATCAATTTTGGCATTCGAAGCCCGCCATTGACAACTTTCGACTTGATGTAATAGAGCTTGTTTGATTAAGAAATCCCAAACAACTTGGCCCATGGTTTAAGTGCTTCGCCTTAGACTAGGGAGTGAGATGATGATGAAGAAGCAGCAGAAGTATCATTCAAAGCCATGGCGATGATGGGCGACGACGCTGATGTCGCCACGACCGAACATGACCGGAGATTTTGAAATAATGTGTAACCACTTTTCTGCTCTCTCTCTCTCTCTCTTTCAACTTTCGCAGCTCACATAGTTGGAACTTTAGTTTCAAATTTTGATATAACGAATCATTAAGTTTTCTCCAAATCCTTAAAAGAGATGTGTCGTTTGATACACTTCTACCAAAACCTATCTTCGTACCTGACTATGCAACCAATACGTAATGACTATTGTATTTACATAGTGAGACTTATAAAATCTGATATAGTAACAGTTTGGTAATTTCCCCCCACCAGGATAAAAGATCCCACGATCTATTTTACGTCAAGCAATAAGTGGAGTAACTCCTGATATAGCATTAAAAGCAAGATGTGTAGGCGGATCGACTCATCAAGTTCCGATTGGAATAGGATCCACACAATTAAAAGCACTAGTCGTTGGTTATTTGCCCATTCATTAGATAGAGAAGATCACCAAAAATCGAGAATGAAGTTTTCATTATGTACATGCCATATCATGAATTAGTAACTGCATCCAAATCTCAAACAAAATCTCAATTGTTTCGAACTTGCTTTTTTTTTAAATGAAATATTTATGGAATCCCCATATCAAAGAAGCAATACCAAATTCACCTTTAGAAAAATCCGAAGTGATAGGAGTTGTAACTTTACGTGCTTGTAAAGAACTCAAACGCAACAATGGTATGAAAATACGATATGATGACAATGTTGCAGTTGCCATGATCAAGAAGGAAATTCAAAGGGAACTCGAATTTTTGGTGCGATCTCACAGGAGTTGAGACTGTAAGGAAGTGGTTAAGTACCATACATGGGCATGTATAAGATACAGTATAACCTTCTCCCAACAACTCGAGTTATTGAGACCAACTGGTTTATGACATGGTATAAGAGCCTGTTTGTCCTTGAGGTCACGTGTTCAAGTTCTCACGCCCCCCAATATTAACTGTTGTCTTTCAAGCACATGGTATGACAGATAGGGATGTCAATCCAACCCGTAACTATGGGTACCCTATCCGACCGTAATCGGTCAACGAGGGTAATTACCCGCTTTGACGGGTTAAGGGGCGGGTACGGGTAGTACCCGGTTTCAAAATAAAGAGTAGGGTACGGGTATGGTAATAGATAGTACCCGCCCGGTTATACCCGCCCCGCTAACAATGGGTCAATTTCCCTTGAGAAATTTAGTTTAGCTTGAGAAATTGAGTTTAACTACCATTATTGATAATGAAGATGTAGACGATTATTATGTTTGTGTGGATTGTAGAAGCAAGAACAATTATTATATGTTTGCTGTTTTTATTTGTGTGGATTGTTGAAGCTAGAACAGTTACAAGTATTGGGAATTTTTAATGGACAACCGTATGTATGTGCATATATGTGTATAAGTTCATAGTTTAGGATTCGTACCCATGGTTACCCGAATACCCGTGGTTACCCGGTGGGTAGGGTATGGTTATATAATTTTCATACCCGGTGGTTATTTGGTCGGGTATTTTAGAAAGCTCTACCCGGCGGGTTAGGAGTTGGTATAGGGTAAATCCGCACCCGACCCTACCCATTGCCATCCCTAATGACAGACCTGTGCAAACTTCAAGCCCATGAGTGGGCTTTCGTTTGAGGGGGCGTGTAAGGAAGTGGTTAAGTATCCCATATATGGCCCTGTATAAGATCCAGTATAACCTTCTCCCAACAACTCGAGTTACTAGGACCAACTGGTTTATGACAGAGACAATTAAATTTTATTAAATACTTTCTCCCAACAACTCGAATTATTGAGACCAAGTAATTTATAACAGAGACAATTAAATTTTACTAAATAATTTCACTAGCGCCCTAAGTATTATAAGAACTGAGTATTCTAAGATATATAAAACGATTAAGATGAGACCATTCAAATTACTTTGAAATCCTATCTCTTAAACTATGAAAAAACAAACGATTTATCTACTAACCCGAAAATCCATTGTTTAGCCGAGTCAACGATTGGATCCAAGTTAACAACTTAAAAACTTTCAAGTATCTCCAAAATTGCGGGTCATTATTTACTGCCCACCGGCAGATGAGATGGCGAGTGAAGACTGAAGTGAAAATCACGTCAATTAATATTGCCAGCCATCTCAATCTCAACTAGCATAGAAGTTACAAAGACATTCCGGATCGCTGACGTGTACGGCCAGGATTCGAAGTCCAGGGTGTCCTTAGATTCACCAGACCATTTAAAAGTGAAACCCAACACGCCCGCCAGGCCAGCGTCGGGCCACTCTTTCCTGCTCTGTTTTTCCTTCCCCCTTTGTTTAATCCGAGACTCAGCGGAAGAGAAAACAAGGATATCGTCGACCTCGAAGTGGAAAAAGGAAAAAGGAATAACAGTCTCTCAGATCTCCTATTCTTCATTCTCCGGCAACGATCTTCGATAGGATTTCTGTGCCCTCTTCTCGGCCTCGATCGAATTCGGGGATTTCCCTTCTCTGAACCCATTCTAACCGGCTTTTTGAAATTATTCAGATCTTGGATGAATAAGATTGATCTATCCTAACCTGGTCAAGCTTTCGATCAGGTTCCCTGATTTGATTTCCCTCTCGAGAGACGTACATAGGATTGCTGGTGGTCTGAGAAATTTCGAGCTTGAGTTCGATCGTGCATGCCCCCTTCTCTGGATCTAAATTATTTTTATTGAATGATCTCTAGACAAGGGGAGGAAACCCTAATTACCACGATGGGGAACGATGAGGCCGACGCCTTGAAGGTGGGAGACGTCGAGGAGGGCGAAATCTCGGATAACGAGTCGGTTGAGGAGATCAGTGAGGAGGTTTTCAGGAAGCAAGATGTTGTTGCCAGCTCTCCTAATAAGGAGTCAAAGCCCAAAGACCCAGATACTAGGGTTTGGACGATGAACGATCTGTATAAGTATCAGATGGGTGGGGGTTACGTTGCCGGTTTGTACAACCTCGCTTGGGCGCGCGCTGTAAAGAACACGCCTCTAGACGACCCAATTGTCAAAGTTGAGGAGGATAATTCCAAGCGGCCGCTGTCTCCGTCTTCATCCGCTGCTTCTTTGAATAGCAGCGGGAAGGGAGGGAAGAAGATTGATAAGATTATCATTGATGACAGTGGTGATGAGAAAGAAGAGGGGGAGTTGGAAGAAGGGGAGATTGATCTGGATTCTGACCCGAGTGTTGCCAATGCTGCTGCCGACGGCTGCTTGAATGGGGAGTCGACAAGGGAGGTAGAGAAGCGAGTTAACACGATTCGTGAGGCTCTTGCCAGTGTCACTGTGGTTGAGGCAGAGAAGTAAGTGGTTGCTCTGGCAATTGAGATTTTGGTTATGGGGGATTAACAGTTCCCGCCTTTGAACTACTTTTCTCGAGCTAACGGTTTAAGTTGGTTCACTCTCTTGTTTTCTTTTGTCGGCTCTTTATTGTGGGTTCCTCGTCTAGATCGTTCAAGGGAGCGTGTTCAAAGTTGCATGACACATTGGAGAGCTTGAGGGCAGTGGTTCTGAAAAATACTTTTCCATCGAAAGTTGCTATAGTCGACCTTTCATTGAATGCTATTCGTTCAGTTAGTTTGGTGAGTTGCACATAGAGTAGATCTCTCATGCCCAGCTCTGCCCAAAGGGCAAAGTAGTTTGTCTTTTCAAGCTTGTTATGTTTTCTGCGGGCTTCATCAAGACTGAATTGTTGTTCAATGTAGGTCTTTCGGTCCATGGATGGAAGATTGAAGGAGGAGAGCAATAACATCTTTTCAAGGCATGCCCATTTTTCATGATTCTTGTTTATGGTTGTCATAAAGATTGGTGGTCTGAAGTCTTGAGCTATGTCTGCAGTTCTAAAAATGTATTTGCCTGCCTGATACAGGTTGATGTCTATTGTAAGAGAGTGTCACCCTCTTCTTTTCTCCATCGATCAAATTGCAGAGGTATACTTTCTTTGCTTCTCAATTCTGTATTCTTAACTGGTTACTTTTTCTTCTGTGGATAGCTAGCTTCTCTTATCGATGCTATTCTGGCATGGTTTATGTTCCACAGGTTGAGGCTATGGTTTCTTCACTAGATCTTTCGTCATCTGAGAAAGCAGCTGTTAATGGGAAAGAAGTACCTATTGAAGTTGAATTAAGTAAGAGGGGTGGTGAATCATTCAGTGCAGTCCAGGATGATACTACAGGATATAGAAATAACATTAATGCAGCTGCTTCTGAGTTAACATTTGAGAATAAGACAGGCACGTCATTTGAAGATTCTAAAGCAGGACTTTCTGCCTTGAGGAGTAGAGGTGTTCTGCTTCCGTTGCTGGACCTCCACAAAGATCATGACGTGGACAGTCTTCCATCACCGACTAGGGAAATGGCACCACCTTTACCTTTGCATAGACCGGGATTCCCTACACCTGTGCGTGTGTATGAAAGTGATGCACTTAAAGCTTTCTCTAGCTACCAACAGAAATTTGGTCGTGATTCCCTTCTCATGAATGATAGACTTCCCAGCCCAACACCATCCGGAGAATCTGGGGAAGGTGAGGAGAATATTAGTGGTGAAGTTTCTAGTTCATCCACATCTACTTCAGCCCAACCAGTACATACTACTTCCTTACTCGAGAATTCAAGTGTGGATGTCTTCATGCATCCAAGGAATTCAGTTCCAACAAATCCTTTACCCACCCCAGTGCTGAAAACCTCAGCAAAGAGCAGGGACCCTAGGCTTAGGTATGTGAATTCTGAAACCAGTAGTTTGGACCAGAACCAGAATGCCCTGCCAGTCATGAATAATGTGCAGCAAAGCGTCAATATGATTGGAGGGTTGACGAACATGAAAAAGCAAAAGGTTGTTGAGGATGCTATTCAGGAAGGCCCTGCACTTAAAAGACAACGAATTGGATTGGAAAATCCTGGTAATGCCAGGAATCTAAAAAATTCTGTTGGAAGTGGAGGCTGGCTGGATGGTTCTGATACTAGTGAACCACAAAAGAATGTCAGTGTAAATCAGTTTTCAGGGAATGCAAACAGTAATCTAATAGGAATCGATAATGCAGTACCTGGTAGTGGCATCATCAATGTTGGTGTTGGGAGGGAACATCTACCAGTGTCTAGCTCTGGTACTGCCCCGTCAAAGGAATTGTTTCCGGGCTTATCCGGTACTAATTCTACCTCCCTTCCCGATTTGATAAAAAACATTGCGGTGAATCCCACAATGTTGTTAGGCCTAATTAAGATGGGACAACAACAGAAGGTTGCATTAGATGCCCAACAGAAGCATGCTGATTTGGCAAACATTACATCACGTCCCATGACCTCAAATCCAATTCCAGGAGTCTTTACTGCCGGTCCCTCACAGTCATCCGGGATAGCAACTTCATCAAGGCCAGCTGGAGCTTCTCAACCTGTGCAGCTAACTGCTTCTGTGAGTATATGATTTTGAGTTACTTATAGATAAGTCGTGTCCTTCTCTTGAACCTTACTTTGTTGTTTGCCATTGTGATGGCAGGATGGTTATAAGGAAGCCGAAGCCTTATGTTTCTTTAGTTATTTTTTTTCCACAAGAAATCAAGCTCCTGCTGTGTATTCCACAAATACCTTTTAATATACTATATATTCTGAGATCAATACTTTTGTCGTCTGCTTTTGGACTTGGCTTCTTAGCTTTTTACACAATAACAAGTTACTGACATTCAGCCCATGCAGGATGACTCAGCGAGGCTGCGGATGAAACCTCGGGATCCAAGACGTGCTTTGCACAACAATAGCCTCCAAAGGACTGGTAGTATGGGATCTGAGCAGTTGAAAGCAAGTTTAACGCCTACATCAACCAACCTTGGTGTGAAAGGACATCAGAGCGTTCAAAAGCAAGAAATCCGGCCAGAAATTAAGGCAACAGTGACTTCTCCACCTGACATCTCCATGCTGTTTACCGATAGCTTGAAGAACATCGCCAGCATCGTGTCGGTCTCTCAAGTGCCAACTGCTGTTCCCAATCTCTCTCAGAGCCTTCCAGTTCAAAGTGTTCTACCAAAGCATAAGGTAGTTCCAGAAGAAAGAGCTGGAGCTGGAGCTTCGACAGCACAAGTTAGTAGTTTGGCCCCTCGATCACAGCAGAACACGTGGAGCGATGTTGAACATCTGTTTGAGGGGTATGATGACCAGCAAAAGGCTGCCATACAGAGAGAAAGGGCGAGGAGGTTGGAAGAGCAGAAGAAAATGTTTTCTGCAAATAAGCTATGCCTTGTATTGGATTTAGATCATACTCTTCTCAATTCAGCCAAGGTAAATAATACTGATGGGTTACTCCCTGTCTGTCTGTTCTTCTGTGCACGTCCTTTAGGCTTCTAATGTATCTGTTTATTTTCCTCAGTTTTCTGAAGTGGATCCTGTTCATGACGAGATTCTGAGAAAGAAAGAGGAACAGGATCGTGAAAAACCACAAAGACACCTCTTCCGTTTCCCACATATGGCCATGTGGACGAAATTGCGGCCTGGAATCTGGAATTTTCTGGAAAAGGTGATTGGTTGTACAACAAGGGTGTTTTTTTTGGGGGGTGAAATACTGATGAGCATAATAGTATTAATGTGATTTCGTTGACATTTTCAGGCTAGCCAAGCATTTGAGCTCCATCTATATACCATGGGGAACAAGCTGTATGCTACAGAGATGGCTAAAGTACTTGACCCCAAAGGCGTTCTGTTTGCTGGGCGAGTCATTTCTAGGGGCGATGATGGGGATCCTTTTGATGGGGATGATAGGGTTCCAAAGATAAAAGATCTGGAGGGTGTGATGGGGATGGAGTCATCTGTGGTGATTATAGATGATTCAGTGAGGGTCTGGCCGCACAACAAATTGAATTTGATCGTTGTGGAGAGGTAAAAAAGTTACCTGAACCTATGGACATGCACTCAGTTCTCTATTACCTTTGTGGTTTTTGGTAGGGGGTGTGCAACTATTTGGTTTGTGCCAGTCTGAATCGACAATTGGGCTGAATTGAACTCGACTGAACATGGTTCGTTCAATTTCAATTCAGACTGAATACAGCTTCGAGGAGACTCTGGTGCTCATTTTCCCTTATTGTTGATCTAGATCTGTGTCGATCCAGTCTGGTTCTGAACCGGATCAGACAGTGCACACCCTCAGTTTTGTTTGAGGTCATCTCCCTGTATAGCTAAACACTGGAACATTCTATGCAGATACATATATTTTCCATGCAGTCGGCGTCAGTTTGGTCTTTTGGGTCCATCTCTACTTGAAATCGACCATGATGAGAGACCAGAGGATGGAACTTTAGCTTGCTCTTTAGGGGTGAGAGAACGGAGGATTATTCACCTTTCCTTGAGGTTAACAGCTCCATACATGTTTTTTTTTCTTTCTCTCAGCTATTAAAGTATTGTTATTTTCAATAAACAGGTTATAGAGAGAATCCATCAGAACTTTTTTAAGCATGAGTCACTGGAAGAGGCAGATGTTCGAAATATTCTTGCCTCTGAGCAGAGGAAAATTTTGGCCGGATGTCGTGTGCTGTTTAGCCGGGTGTTCCCAGTTGGGGAAGCCAACCCCCACCTCCATCCACTGTGGCAGACAGCAGAACAGTTTGGTGCTGTGTGTAGTAACCAGCTAGATGATCAGGTTACTCATGTAGTTGCCAATTCACTTGGTACTGACAAGGTATTGTTAACTGGGCTACCTCTGATTTGAAAGGAGCTGGGGAACTTTGAATTGAGTGTTACTTAAGTTGGTGTAAACTGTTGGCTTACAATTGTTTTGGTTCAGGTAAATTGGGCTCTATCCAAGGGAAAATATGTCGTGCACCCAGGCTGGTAAGGATCTTTTCGCCATCGTCCTTCCACATACCTCTGGTTTTGGTACCTCTTTCTGATGGCTTCCATTCTCAATGCACACAGGGTTGAAGCGTCAGCTTTGCTATACAGGAGAGCGAACGAACAAGATTTCGCGATTAAAACATGACCAATGTCCTAAATAACCTGACCTGGTAATTTGCACCGGTTGAACAAAGAAAACATTTAAAATCAGTTTTGGACATAAAATTGGGAGGAGAACCGTGTCATCGGAACTGTGGAGGGAAACGAAAAGGTTGTGAAGGGAAGCTGGCAGAATGCATGGGTTGATGTGGGATGCCGCTTGCTGATAAGAAGCAAGTCTGTCGTAAGTACTTGTGGAGCTATGGACACCGGTTTAGTGCAAAACAAGGGACCATTTTTAAGGGTAGTTAAGCTACGCGGAGAAGACGGGCCGGTGGACTGGTTGGGGGCTGGCCAGGGGGATTGTGTGTAGGGGTATTCGTCGACCCATTGGTGCGGTGTAGGCCGAGCTTTTGAGGGCAGTTGCAGCTCGGCGGAGGGATGGGAGTTGTGGCTGGTGGTAACATTTCCTGTGAAATTATTTACGGTACGGCGGCGGCGGCCAACAGAAAGTACATATACATGAAGTTTCCGGCGGCGGCATTTGGTCGACCGGGGAAAGAGAAGGTGGCGTGGTGGTTTCTTGTTTTCTGGTTTGGGCCTTGGTTTTGGTGTTCCTCTGTTTCTGTCCCTCCTCATTTCCCCGCTGATTATTGATTACTTCATCTGGAGGTCCTATCCCTAACAAGTAACAACAACAAATGAAATGGCTAATCAAACTAATAACGAGTCTCACCAATGGCTCGTTTGAAATGAAAGAAAAGACAATGGAAGTTGAATTTACTAATTACTAGGACGTTTAATGAAAATGTTGACCTTCACCTACCAGTGAAAAACAAATACAACTGCAGAAGTGGACGATTGGCTGAACATGATTTCGTTACAACCACACTCCAATGAAGTTCACTCCTTACTAATATTAATCCCTTGATTAGTCATCTAATAAATGCATTTATGGTAATGTTGGCTCTTGAATGAATAATGATATAGAATAATTGTTTATATATAAAAGCCAATAGTGTCAGGGTTTTTTTTGTTTACAATAGCTTTAAGGTTACTATTCATTGAAGGCTGCTTTTTAAAATTTCATCCAAAGTCACATATTTGCATAATTTAGTTATTTTGCGAATTTCCTTAGTGGATAAATATTTATCTCAATTTTCTTTTCTTTTAGTCACATCTAGCCGACAAGAACCTTTTAGTAATTCTCTTTTTTATTTGTTTTATTTTACCATTTTGTTTTTGCTATTTTTAAATCGACATCTTTGTTCGTATTTGATTCACATTTAGACGATATGTTTCCATTTTCGAATTCATATTTATTGGCAGTTTTCTTTGTTTTTTTTATTATTCAAATCACGTGTATTTGAATCATGTGTATATTTGTGAAACATTGTTCATTTTTGAATTCTTATATATGGACTATCTTTGTGAGTTTTCTTACTATTCAACTAGAAGTCGTCTAATCACGTGTACCTCAATCACATGTGTTTTTGAATCATTATCGATTGACAATCTTGTGAGTTTTCCAACGATTTAAGTAATTTTTGTTTTGTTTTTGCATGGTCATATTTTTGAATATGAGGCTAATTGGCCATCGAGTCCAAATTACTCTCATAGGCAAGTTTATAAGTGTAGTATTTTAATGAGAATTCGACTCAGTAGCTTCACCCTGGTGTTATATGCGGTTGAACATACATTTTCTTGAACCGCTATCAGTGGCGGACCCAGGATTCTCGTATAGGTGTGTCAATCGATAAAATTAAATAAAATAATAAATAATTTTTAATTATATTTTACTGTGAAAACAACGAGAAGTGGGATCGATAGAGGTAAAGCGAACACTAGGGTTTTTTTATAAGATAGTAGTTCATATGCAACTGGACTCTCGATGAAAGAGCATTTTTGTCACTAGGTGGACAACTACGTGAAAGTTACAAGGATCAAGAAGAAACGAAACTTATTCAGGTAGAGAGAAAAAGGAGAAAACTTCCTTACGATTACCCCTGCCTAAGACCTAAGAGCAATAAACCATTGCTTCTAAATGCTTAACCAATGGAAAGAACCCCAAATTTGTCATAAGTTAACTAAAAATTAAAATAAATAATATATATTTACGTATTTTGGAAACTTTTATGACACCAATTTCATCGTAGTGTATTAAAAGTGTGTCGTTTACAATTATTGTAGGTGTGTCGAAAGTTCTAAATTCCAAAAAATTATGCCGACAAAACATGGGTCTCTCACAAAATATCCGGGCGGAGGTGTGTCGCTTGACACACCTCCTTAACACATGGGTCCGCCCCTGACCGCTATTATGTTATATTATTTCATTTACCAAGCCACACCATTGAAAATTGTATGACTTTTAAATTTTTGTTTAGTATATTATTTCGTATTTCAAAAAATACACATTTTAATAGGTTTAATTCACCCGCATAGCCATAACTTTTACAGTTTTGACAAATATAGCCACTTTTTGAATAATACACAGATGTAGCCACACTTTTCAAACATCTTTGACTAATGTAGCCATTTCCCTTAAAACATTTGACGAAGTTAACGTCTCCGTCAGTTAAGTGGATGTTTTGTTGATCTGTCCGCCAAATGGACGACACGTCATCGCCAACCGGATGGACATAGGCATAGCCACGTGGACACCACATCATATAAAAAAATTTATTAAAATTATTTAACTCTCTCTCTCTCCTTCATCATCGTCGTTTTCATTCCCTTCCTGCCTTATTTTCTAGGGTTCGGAGCTCTCCAACCCGCCGAACTCCTTTTCAATCCCTTCCCTTTCGTCGATACCTCCTCTCCACCCCAACTCCTCACTGCCGCCGACGCCTCCTGCTCAGCCTACCAAGATCGCCTCCCCGTCGACTCCCCCGCTACTCTCCTGAATCCAACATCGCCTAAATACATCCATACCCCAGCCGTTGCTTGCTTCATCTCTTTTTCCAGCAGTTGAATCTATGTCGAATAGGTATGGAAAGAAGGTGGATTTCAATGTTGTCGATTCCGGATCAGCAAGCACCAATAGTAGGATTGTCGTTCGATGCGAGCACAACGTTCCATGTGTTCTTAAAACTTCGGGTACTTATACGAACCCAGGGCGACAATTCTACTGTTGTCCTTATTGGAAGGTAAGCAGCTCCATTCTTTGTGTGACCCAATTGGTTTTTACCTATAGTTTTGACAGTCATGCTTATTATTTTGCTGCAGGATAGGAAAATAAATTGTCGATTTTTTCGGTGGGTGGAATCAAACGATGATGAAACTGGCTCATGGACTAATGAAATGGGTTCTATTCAGAATCTGGAAGAGAGTCTGATGCTAGCAGAAAGGAAGGCAGAGAAGATGAAGAAGGAAAAAGAACTGTTGGCCGAAGAACTAAGCAGATTGATGCTTGCTCATGAGGTTATGGCAATGCGTGTTAGGAGATTGGATGATGATGTCCGTGTCATTCGATATCTGTTGATTGGTGTTGTATTGATGAATGCTATTTTGGTGGTTGTTCTTTGGAGGCCAGAATCTGGTCTGTAGTTGTTGGCATTCTGTGGAAGCTTAGGCAATTTGTAGGTGTTTCTGTTTGAGTAAGAAACTTCGCAAATGTAAGCAAGCTTTAAATGTAAGGATCTTTACTTATTAATGTAACATGTGGTCTCTCTATTTCCTTAAAGCAACATAGTGTTGGTTTTTTTAGATACCTATATTAAGCAAGTGCAAAAGGGTGCACATCAAAATGGTGTTCATTAGAGTACATCATACACCTGCAGTTAACAAGCTGTCTGCATCTATAAAAGTGTGTTCATTTGCATCCCTAACTTCAGTACTTGCTATCTAATCTGCTAAGAACTGCTTCATGAGTCATGTAATCATCGTTACATAGCAACGTGCACATAAGTGTCTACTATCGACATTACACAAAAGATTACTCAAGCATTATATTCCTCCTAAATCTAAGGCTGACTAGGTGGTGGCTGACTTCCATGCAGGTCCATGACAGTTGGCTGAGGTCCACGAATTGGCCTGCCAGCAGCTCCATTAAGCTGAAATGTCGAACAACAAACATATTAGTAATTAATGTCCATTACATTAAATCGACTTAGTACAATTAGAAGACAGGTTGGAAACACACCCTAACATATTGGTTCCATGTCCTCTCATTAACATAAACTCTAACTCCAGATTATGCAATTCGCAATTCCCTTTCAATTGTTCTTCTGTCAGCCACATTGAGTATCACGTCCTACATATATGCAAACTAAGTCCTATAAATTTGTCTCATTCAAACACATTCCAGCATTAGTTTAAAATCACTTACTTGTACACCATTTCCTCTATTCAGAGGACAAGTTATTGCGTTGTGAGTGGAACTCTTACATTTGGAATAATGAATAGTCCTCTTCCTTCTAGGTTCCTGGCCTGAGTCTCGCGCCGCTGCTGGCTGGGTATTTCTCTGTGTACTTCTCTCCTGCCAAGAAGCAAACACTTAAATCACAGGACATAGGCAATCTAAGAAACAGTAATGAACAAGAATCTTACCACCACAACTTCAGCAACAGGGGGTGCCTTGCAAGATCTGGCATTGTGGCCCTCGCCGCCACACTTGGAGTAGTGGATGAGATTATCTCTCCTTGTAACCTCTTCACCAACCCCGTTTCTTTGTGCCCTGGTCTCCTCCACCTCATTTGCAGTCCTTCTTCTTTTCTTTTTTGGCCTGCCAGACATTGATCTACTCTTGGGAGGATGCAGAGGTGTTCCCCCAGGTGCAGACCATGCTTGCCTACCATCAAGGCAAGGTATCCCATATTTGTATGCGAAACTAGACATGTACACATGATAGTATGAATTGACACAATCATCCACTTCTCTTCTTATATGGCTAATTGTTGAAACCGCGTGGCAGCATGGAATGCCACTAAGTTGCCAGTAACCACAAGAGAGTTACATTCTGTCAGATCCACTATACACCCTTCATCCCCCTTCTTTATCTCACACCTTGCATTGAGAGTTTGTTTAGCTACACATAACCTAGCCTCTTCCTTTTCCCTTTCAACTCGTTTCCTAATCCTTTGAGGCAAGGTGTATGTACACTTGGCAAACATTTCTGACTTAAGCACTACCCTGTCCATCATGTACTGCCTTATACCCTCCAGCATCTCTACAATTCTAAAACCCCTATACTTAACAATACAACCATTCCATGTCTCATATACATTGCTCTCAATCGAGTCACACTTTGAATAACATGATAGGAAGGCACGACAGAAACAACGAGGTTCAGCAGCCATAAAGTTTGTATATGGGGTAGAACCATCACCTGACTTTTCAATGACCTCCAGCTCAGCAGTTGCGCGGTTCCAATGTACTTCGTTGCAAGCATAAACGACATACCAAAAGAGCTTCCTAATACGATCTGTTTTGTTCTTGGCCTTCCAGTTGGCATATACATGTCTTGCACATTTCCGGTGCTCAACATCAGACAGAATGGTGTGAATTTCCTCAACTAAACCCTGAAGTCAGCAATAAGTAGGGAAAAGGTTAAAGTCAGCAATAAAGTCAGCAATAAGTAGGGAAAAGGTTAAAGTCAACAATAAATTCAGCTATATTGGACATTACCTTCTGTTTATAAAAAATAATAGCCCATCCCATTTCGTCAACTAGAGTTAAGTCTTCAACTAATGCTTGCACGAACCAACACCATGAGTTGGTGTTTTCACCTTCCACCACATCCCAACATATTGGAAACATTTGATTGTTTCCATCTTTCCCAACTGATGTCAGTATCATCCCTTTAACTTCTCCTTTCAGAAAACATCCATCCAAAGCAATCATTGGTCTGCATCCTTCTAAAAATCCCTTTCTCAAACTTGAGAACCCGATGTACATATGTTGAAAGAATAC